TTCCTGAAAACTTCCATCCCCCATGTAAAGCTGTCCCAAGCTTTTAAAAATATTATTTATTTATTTATTTACTTATTTATATATTTATTATTTTATATGAATGAGTTTTTTACTAGCATGTATGTAAGTGCACCCATGTCATGCAATGCCTGTAGAGGCCCAAGGAGGGTGTCAGATTTCCTGGAACTGGAGTTACAGACATTGTCAGCAGCTATGTGGGTACTGGAAACTGAATAGGGGTCCTCTAGAAGAACACGCAGTGCTCTTAACCATTGAGCCATCTCTCTTTTTCTTTCTTTTTTTTTATGTGCCTCTTCCTTGAACCTATTCTGAAACACACAAATCAGCCCCCAGCCTAAGAGAGGTCATATCCTTCAAATGCTGTATGTTTAAAATGTGACCTGAGACTGATTATGACCTACATTCACATTTCAAGTTGAGTTAAAACTATGAAGGCTATTTATGACCCAGTCTTGGAAACAATTTCCAGAATTCTTTAAAATTGTCAGTGTGCATAGCAGTGTATCAGAGTATAGCATGAGATCCAAACAGACCTTTGACCTGTGAGCATCAATGTTCTGATCAATTTGCATATTCTTATTTGCTTTGGCACAGAAAGTCCCTGAACATGGATTATCATTTTTCAAGGTGAAGTACACAGGGCATCAGGAGGTTTTACACCTAACACCCTGCCCTGAAATAACATCAGCAAACTGAGCCAGGCTTTCCGTAGAATAACTGAGTGGGTTGGACTTCAATTCCTACATGTGTTTTGAGTGATTTTTTTTCCTCTTTTTTTGGTGATTTTCTCTAAAACATAAAATAAATATGCATTATTTTAAAAAATCAGAAAAATAATTTTACTTTAAAAACTATACACATATTCCTTGTGTTTATCACTTTTGTAGTCTTGTTTTTATTGCCCTGTGAAGAGAATGCTGCTTATGACAAGGTATTATAGAAACTCATCATACACAGTAGCTTATGTTTTTCTGAACAAGCTTTTGACTATTTCATGAGCTTCCGTTGCATGCTAGTTAATCCATTTGGTTGACTGTGAATGAGAACATGTATATTTTTCCAGATAACCAAAGAAACATGTATTTCAATCAAAGCTCATATTTATCTTCATTTAATTTTTAATATCTGCTTTATTACTCCAGAATTTTTTGTTGATATGCTATATTCTTTATCAAG